CGCCTAGCAGGGTGGCGAGCGGGGACCACGTTCGCTGGTGTCTGGCAAACCCGGTGTTCCACGCCATTTAACCTCGCTTCGTGGAGGGGAGGGGATGCCAACCTTTGGGTTTTTTTTGTTTTTTCACTCCCAAACTAGAAAGTTTTAAACCAGTCACCCCTTGAAAACATAATCCGTGCAAGAAACGTTTCTTCTTCATCTACACAAGTTATTTAGCATATACGTGAGAGAGAGACAAATACCCGCTTTTTTGAAGCCAATAGGAAATCTATTAAATTAGTAGATACAACACAAAACCTTGTTGTTGTTTGTATAAAATTCGACTTCATACAACTTCATACACACACAAGTGCCTGGGCTTTAGCTGCATTATGTTTTCCAGGACCAAAATCTTGTTCCAGAGCCCCTCCGAGGCTCCCTCGAATAAATCTTCAGAATCCTCGCCGAGCACGTGAAAGCTTATAGGAATGTTTTTAGTTACCTTTTGTTAAAGATGCCTATTAATGATTTAGCTTACACTGGCTGAGAGACATCAGAAAAATTGTTAGGTAGGTTTTGCTAAAGTTTTGTTCTGGTGCACTGATAGCTTGAAGCATACAAAGCAGAACTGCCCGCAGAAGGTGAATTTTGGAAACCTCAGGCAGCCTTAGGGTGCATGGCTAATGCAAGTAGAAAGTTATATGGGGCGTAGCTTACTTACTAGAAGGTCCTTTCCATGACAGGGGAGAGAGGGGACCATGTTCTACCAACAACTTGTGGGGGGAAATAACAGGAGCCTTTCACATCTAACACACCAGTTCAAATCCCTCCCTTTATAGAAAATGGTTTTGCAGCCCTGTTCCTCCTCCTTGCGCTGTGGCTGCTATTCGCACAGTAGTAACTCCCTGGCACGCACTGGGTCTTTTGGAACAAAGGTTATGTGATTCCAGGTGGGTTCTGCGTTCATGAATGCGCCCAACAAACTCCGACGAAGTGGGATGAGAGAAGGGGGCAAATACTGCTTGTCCCGTTCAGCCCTTGCTCCTTCACCACCTGGACCACTCTGGTCACCAGCTGACCAAGACGTCGTGGCGAGTTGATCATGAAATACAGATTAATCAGCAGGTGATTGGGTTACCGGGAGAGAGATTTTGCCAGGGCTGAACCCAAGGTCATCCTAATTGTTCAAATGGGTACAAATTAGTAAAACCTAACTTTCTCTGCAAAACATTTTTCTTTCATTGGGCTGTGTCTTTTGTAGAAAAAGAACACATTCCCTACTTTCTAATTCTGACTCACTCTTAGTTCATCACAGCATCACTCAACATTCAGGACAGTTTGCAAAATTCATTAAATAGTGAATATTTTAGCATAAACACTCACCAACAGTTGGGATATTCAAAGGCATACATCTTTGTAGCTCTCTGAAAAAGAGGTCAGTGGCATGAAATTCTGCTTACTTCTTTCATGAGAACTGTAAAGCTTTGAAGAATGAAGTAGTTCTCCAGGCTTAAAAGTTTGCATCACCTACATTAACACCTGCAGCATGTTTTCCTAATACAGATGGGTGTAGCAACAGATGCTAAAAATAGGGAGGCCGCATCCTGCACCTCAGCTGGTCACGGAAACCATTGTATCCTCTTACTTCTGGTCCAAAAATCCACAAAGTACCCTCAGCATAACTGCTTGAATACCACTAGGAGGAATGCTCAGACAAGTATGTATTTATGTAACGGCTGTGATGTTTTAACTTCTAGGAAATGCCGTGGGACGTAAAACCCCTACATTTGACTGGCTGGAAAAACAGCCCCAAATAAACGGA